TAAGGCATGTGACTGTTTCTTGTTTCTCTCTTAAAGTGTTAATGGAGAGTTGGTACTCACGAGTATAATCTTGCAGGGATTCGCGATTGGAAATGGGCTTACAGATCCTGCAATCCAATACCCAGCCTATCCTGACTATGCTTTGGAAATGAATTTAATTACGCAAGCAGAGCATGATCGTTTAAAAAAGATTGTCCCACTGTGCGAGCTATCAATTAAGCTTTGTGGTACGTCCTCCCTTTTTCATTACCAAGTAAAATTGCTCCATTTGTTTTGATGGATCCTGAAGCCGCTGTTTTTTTGTTTGTTTGGGGCTCTTCAGGAACTGATGGAACAGTTTCTTGTTTGGCGTCATATCTTGTTTGCAACACCTTGTTCAGTGGTGTAATAAATCATGCTGGAGGAGTAAACGTAAGCACAAAATAACTTTTAAATTTTTATTGCTAATTGGATTTCCAGATAAATTGTTTCTGGCAACATCATGTGAACTTTTTCCTTCCTTCAAAAATGAGACCTTTAAGAAGCCATTCTGCAAGGGATAACTCATCAAGTTTCTTGTGTAGTACTACGACATCAGGAAGAAGTGCGTGGGAAGTTTGTGCTACGACTTCTCAAACATGGAGACATTCTTGAATCTGAAATCTGTGAGAAAGTCGCTTGGTGTTGGGGACATAGAGTTTGTCTCTTGTAGTACTAGTGTATATTCGGCAATGCTACAAGATTGGATGAGGAATCTAGAGGTTGGAATTCCTGCGCTCTTGGAAGATGGAATCAACCTTCTTGTGTATGCCGGAGAATATGATCTCATCTGCAACTGGCTCGGTAAGTACCACCAATAACATAACATATTCAAATCCAGAGTTGAAAGTAATAGACAGAATTGAATCAAGTTAAGTTCAAAAACAATTGTTTAATCATTTTGGGACATGATGATATCTTGAACTGGAGCAGGTAACTCGAGGTGGGTGAAGGCAATGGAATGGTCAGGGAAAGACAACTTTGGGGAGGCTAAAGAAGTTCCCTTTTTGGTCGATGGTAAAGATGCAGGCTCGTTAAAGAGTTATGGACAACTCAGTTTCCTCAAGGTCGGCTTTTCCTGCATAAAATCAACCAGTCTTTCTTAGTTTTTCTGATTGTCTTATAGTAACAACAAATGGTTTGATGATTTAAAACATATGAACACAGGTGAAAGATGCAGGACACATGGTTCCTATGGACCAGCCAAAAGCTGCGTTGAAAATGCTCAAGAGTTGGATGCAGAATTCGCTTCATGCCACTACAGATGGAGATGAACTTGTTGCTCAGATGTGAATCTCATCTTCTTTTGGGTTTGCAGGACAAACCTAAAAATCAGCAAACAAATAAACAATGTGGAATCGCTTTGTTGTGTACACCTTTGACGCTTCCTTTTGTAATTTGAATCTCATAAGAAAAAGATATATGTAGGGGTTGTACAATTTCGTTAAAACCAAACTCTACGAACAGAAAAACTTATTCTGGAAGGAAAAAAAAAAAAAAAGATGAAAATCTGACATTTTCTATAGATTTTTTACTGGTAACGTTTTGAAATAAACATATCAGAAGAGAAACCGAGTACACCAGAACACTCCATCGTGTGGTCTCCAGATGACACATGGCGAACTATGATTGGTTACAAGAGCAATTTTATCTAACAAGCAAGATACAGATGAGGTAAGGAGAAGGAGCAATGTCGATTTCTTCGTTGAGGTTTGCAATCTCAAGGCAAGCT